TGTAATCACATTTCAAATTATGGTGTCCATAGTTTTCATTTTCATATTTTTATAACTTGTGGTGACTGCAAAAGACTGTACCAAGTTTGTTGACGTAGGCTACAACTTTGTTAATAATTTAGATATTTTTTTTAGTATTGTAAATAGTACTAAATTAATCATATTCTACAAAGTAAAGAATTTTTAATAATTAAAGTTCCATTGTATTAATTAATGGAACATGGTTTTTTAGTTCTTTTGATTTTTCTGTCAAAGATATTAACTTTACCTCAAAGCAAAAAAAAAATAATAAAAAAAAGAAGATACTTCATTTTGTAATAATTTAAAATCATTGATCAATACTTTATTCTTTGAATTACACTATAATTGAGAATTATAGCGTAAATTCCAATTTTGAAATTCTGTTGTTTTTTCAAAAAAGAAAAAGAAAAGATTATCATATTCTCAAGGTGATAATGCCTTGTTTGGTTAGAATTTAGAGGGATGAAAATTAGAATCGTATAAAATTAATTATTTTAGTAGTTATTAATTAGTTAATATATATATATTAACGGTATGTGCGGCAAAATTAATTATTTTGGTAGCAAATGTTAATATTTTATAAAAAAAACTACCTTAACTTCTAAAAACTAATTCAAATGTTATATTATCGAATACTATAAAAAATAACGTTTAATATTTTAACGAAACAAAATTATTAAAAGTTTTGACAATTACAAATAAATATATCATAGTCCACTATAGTCCAATTATGCAATATTCTTATAATATTAACACAAACAAACATATAGTTTCACCGTCTAATGATGCAATATTCTTACACAAACACAAACAAATAAACAGATGGTTGCAATTTGAATACAACTTCCAATATAAAATTAAAATATATAATTTCTGATTTAATACATGAGAAAATTTAACTAATTCTCCACTAAAATAGGTTACATTTCTAAAAAGATCAAGAATACAAACAATCAAATAATAAAATAAAATCTGATATGAGGACCACGTCATTCTCTATTACATAAAACCAAAAGGATATCCCAAGCATCCTCGATAGAGCCATGTGCACCTATACCATCAAACCTACAAGACATAAACAAAGAAATACCAATAATGCGTATTAGCAGGGAATCTCTCAAGACATGTAGCAAACAAAAACGAAGAACCAATAAGCCATCAAATCCAAGCTAAGAAAGAAGTAGCAAAACCCACAACTAATTTCGCCAACCCATCTGCAAAAAAGTTATCTTTATGCGATACATGAGCTAAGGAAATCCTTAGAGACCTCAAAAAATTATTCTAATTATTAGCGTAATTATTATTAAAAATAAAATTAAAAATTATTAGTAATGAAAAAAAATAAAAAATAAAAAATTATTATTAAAAATAAAACTTTTTTCAAAACTCATCCAACAAAAAGAGTTTCAATGTATATAGATATATAAATTATATCAATAAAATATTACATTTTAAAATTAAAAATTTAAACTGTTCGTCAATCTCACACACATATATTCATTTTATTTAAAATAAAATTTTAAAAGTCAAAATTTTAAAATTTTAAAAGCTTAAATTGTTTGTATTCTATTTGAAAATTTATTTTTTGAAAAAAATATATCCAATCAAATCATACAGATATAAAGAAAAAAGAATATTAATAAAAAAAATATAGTTTTTTCTTTTTTTATTTCTCTTCGAAATAAAATATTTTAAATTATAATTAAAATAGAATCAAAATAAAAATACAATAATAAAAATTTTCAAATGTCTACTTATCATCTATTCATATATATTTATTAGAAAAAATAAATTTAAAAAGGATAAAACATAAAAAGTTTAAATGCTTAATTATCTATAGATATTTATTTAAAAAATATTTTAATAATTATAAATATATTTAATCAACTAATAAAATATAATTTTCTAATTGACTATAACTAAAATTATTTTAGCATATTTTAAATTTCATTAAAGGTACTATCGGAAATCTCATTATTGCCTCTATTTTCACATTTATGTATAGTATAGATAGATATCCATATCAATAGACTAAACTCACTTTTTAAAATTAATATTTAGTAATGATAATTATAATTTTTTAAAAATAATTTATTTCAAAAATTTTAAATTCCCGATTCGAAAATTTTTTATTTATTTTATATTTGTATTTTTAATTGGATTAAAGGTTTTTTTTTGTTAAATAAAATAAAATATTACCCGCGCACAAGGAAATAGTATCATGTTATCCATAATATTATCTTATCCTCATGTGCCACAAGTCAGTAGCAACCTTTACACGTTTACAATATGGATTAGCTAGTGAGTTTGTAAATAATAGTTAGTGTTTTTAGTTTATAATCAATGCATGCTTGGTTCTGCGGTAATGGAAACTGTGAAGCTAATTTATATTTCAAGCTGTACTGTGTTTGCGATCTTGATCTCATTTTTAATCAAGTTCTTCAACAAAGTATAATGGTGGACTCCCATGCGCATCCAATCCATGATGATGTCTCAAGGTATAAAAGGCCCTTCTTACAAGCTCTTCTACGGCAACAACAAAGAGATCATCTTCTTCACAAGCTCTTCTTACATGGTGGACTCCCATGCGCATCCAATCCATGATGATGTCTCAAGGTATAAAAGGCCCTTCTTACAAGCTCTTCTACGGCAACAACAAAGAGATCATCCATCTGACAAATAAAGCTTTGAGCAATCCCATGGAATTATCACACCAAGTGTATCCAACTGTATTGCCACACTTCCATTCATGGATGAAGCTTTACGGTAACAATTTATTCCATTACTTGAAGTTTTTTTTTTTTTTTTCTAAACTATTACCTATGTGTTTGATTTTTTTTGTGAAATTATTCGTAGGGAAGAATTTCCTTAGATGGCAAGGTCCTCAAGCTTACTTGGTATTCTCAGAACCTGATGAGCTTATTAAGGAGATATTTAACAATAGGGATGGGGCATTTCCCAAACCCGAAACCAATGATTACACTAAGAAGCTAATAGGAGAAGGAATTGGAACTACTAGGATACCAGAAAAGTGGCTTAAGCTTCGTAAATTATCTAATTATGCTTTTCATGCAGAGTGCCTGAAAGTAAATAATCAATTTCTTGCTTTCATTTATAACAGAGAAAATTTTCAAGTACTCGTAGAAATACAAATTATATATGTGTATGGGTTTCTTTTGCAGAGTATGATTCCTGCCATGATAACAAGTGTGAAAATGATGCTTGAAAAATGGAGACATAATGAAGGAAAGGAAATTGAAGTGTTCCAAGAATTCAAAGTCTTAGCCTCAGAAATCATTTCCAGGACTGCTTTTGGAAGCAGCTACTTTGAAGGGCAGCGTATATTTGACATGATAAACCAGTTAACTCTCATTATTGGTAGAAACAGATATCGGATAAGAATTCCTGGAATTAGGTACGGTGCTTGGCTCTGCTATATACTAGTTCTTGAATTTATTGGGTTGGTTTTGTGCATGTCTTTAAATTCTCGATATATTTATATGTTTCATTTTCTGTTGTTCCAGAAATCTTGTAAAAACCAGGGATGATATTGAAGCAGAAAAGATAGATCAGGAGATACGAGATTCCATTATGAATATGATAAAGAAAAGAGAAGAAGCAGCAATGATGAGCCAATCACATGGCTTTGGGACTGATTTTCTTGGATTACTGTTGAAGGCACATCATGATAATAGTGATCCTGATCAGTCAAAGAGATTATCAGTTGAAGAAATGATTGATGAGTGTAAAACCTTTTATGTTGTTGGACATGAAACAACTGCAACCTCACTTACCTGGACCATTTTTCTTCTAGCTATCCACACAGATTGGCAAGATAAAGCCAGGAAGGAGGTCCTTGAATTATTCGGCCAGTAAAATCCGAGCTCAGATAGACTCTCAAAAATGAAAATTGTAAGTGTTGGAAATCTTAAAACTTGTTCATGCTATCGCTCACAAGCTTATGCTTTTATATCCTCAAGCCTACAAGCCATTTTTCGTTTGCTCTGAAACTGGAAATGAATGCAATTCTTAAAATAGGATTTCTTCCTTTTTTTTGGTTCACAGAGAATCTAAAATTTTTTGGTTTTTTAATATTTGAATAACTTGAATTTATATTGAAATGATATCTATTTCTAAGTATAGTTCTTAATATAGCCAAAAGATTCTACTTCCATTCTCGTTTCATTTCCAAGATGAACCAAATATGACTCAATATGCTCTTTGTCACTGTACGATAAGCTTTAAGATTCAATTTATTAGTCGTCCTTTGTCATTATAGGTGAGCATGATTATCAATGAAGCTCTCCGGCTATATCCTCCAGTTCTTAGTATCCCAAAAGCAGTCCAAAGGCAAGTCAGATTGGGGAAGTTGGTTCTTCCTGCAAATATAATAATCGAAATTCCAGTCATTGCACTTCACCATGATCCTGAAATATGGGGAGAAGATGTTTGCCTTTTCAAACCAGATAGATTTGCAGAAGGCTTGGCCAAAGCTACAAACAACAATGTGAATGCCTATCTTCCATTCAGTTTGGGGAGAAGATGTTTTGCCCTTTTTCCAACGCAAAGAATAAAGATTTTGGCAGAAAGGCATTGTGGCCAAATAGCTTACAAACAACAATTGTGAATGCCCTATTCTTCCATTCAAGTTTGGGAGCCTCGAAGCTTTGGTGTGGGATACAACTTTTGCAATTAATAGAGACGCAAAAGATTGCTTTTGTCCAATGATTCTGCAAAACATTTACCGGTTTTACTCTATCAACCAACGTTTACTCTATCACCAACTTATGTTCACTCTCCTGTGAACCTTCTTACTGTGTGTCCACAACATGGAATGCAAATCGTGCTCCATCCATTATAAGTTTAATGAGCATATGCTTTTCAGTATGTAATTAAGCCCTTGGATTGATGCCTCATATATGGCTTTGTGTGGATTTATAACCAAAGTTTAATGTGATAACTACTAATTAAATAATTAATGAACGATAAATAAAATGAGTTTTGTATATTTCAAGATGTGTTTTTGTCAGTTTAAGTTTGTATATTCATTCAAACCAAAGAAAACATAAATAAAATGCATAACATCAGGCTGTTGATGTAGTGAATGAACAGAGTGGAGGAGATTCTGGAGTAGAAAATAGTAAAGGCATTGGTGGGATTTTAAGGGATTCTGAGCTTCCTTCTAACATTTCTATAACCTTACTCATTGATGGCCTATCAGATGGATTTGTCTGTATGCACCACAAACCAACCAATGTCATTTTCCTAACAATTTCTTTCTCTTCCGTAGAAGTCTCTCCATACAATTTGCTTTCATTTCCCAACTCAATTCGCTTATAAATCCAGTATGGAAAATATTTCTCATTGCTACTATCTCTCCATACAATTTGCTTTCATTTCCCAACTCAATTCGCTTATAAATCCAGTATGGAAAATATTTCTCATTGCTACTATCATTTGTCCCGACCTCATCTTTCTCTCTCCCTCCAACCGTTTCTAAGACCAGCATTCCATAGCTATAAACATCAGACTTGTACGAAACTCCACCAAAGTTTCTGCTGAAAACCTCCGGTGCTATATACCCAATAGTTCCTCTAGTCTCTAACATTGATAGTATACTTTCTTTTTTGGTGTATAGTTTTGCGAGTCCAAAATCTGAAATTTTTGGGCAAAAATTTTCATCAAGAAGAATGTTGTGAGGCTTTATGTCGAAATGCACAATCCTTGTTTTACACCCACGATGCAAATACTCTAATCCTCGAGCTATTCCAATTGCAATTTCGTGCATAATTTCCCATCCTAAATGATAATCACTCTTCAAAATACCTTGCGAGCATATGAAATTTTCAAGAGACCCATTAGATATGAATTCATAAATTAAAGCTCGTTTTTGACCCTCGAGGCAAAACCCTAAAAGAGTGACAATATTAATATGAGAAGTTCTACTAATGCTTGCAACTTCATTGATGAATTCTTCTCCTTCTCCTTTAGAAGCATTCAAGACCTTTACCGCTACAAAATGTCCGTCTTTTAGCTTGCCCTTGTACACAATTCCATAGCCTCCTTGGCCAAGTTTATCTTTGAAAAAATTGGTCATTTTCTTCACTTCTGAGAAGCTGTATCTTTTCACAGATAGAGGCCCATGATTTTCTAGAAAGGCCTCAATCAGGAGATAGAGGCCCATGAATTTTTCTAAGGAAAGGCCTCAAAATCTTGGTTTATGTACTACCGTAGGAAAACCGTTGGAAATTCTTTTTCCGACAATAAATGAAGCCTCCTTGGCCAAGTTTATCTTTGAAAAAATTGGTCATTTTCTTCACTTCTGAGAAGCTGTATCTTTTCACAGATAGAGGCCCATGATTTTCTAGAAAGGCCTCAAAATCTTGGTTATTACTCCGTAGGAAAACCGTTGGAATCTTTTTCCGACAATAAATGAGGCCACCACAAGTGACTAAAATTCCAAGTACCACAACGACTGCCACTGCAACGGGAGATGATCATATAGGAAAATTAATATAATAGAATAGAAACCTCGTATATATTACTCTTTACATTCAGTAATTTTTTTTTTTTACAAAAAATTTAAAAAATGATTGAATCATGAAATGTAAATTTCAAATATGGTCAAATAAAATATAAAAAAGTGAATATTTTTCTGTAAAAGTCGTTGAGTTATAAAGTAAGATGTACTCTTTTTTTTAAGATTTTGTAAAAGACATCATCCTTTTATAAAAATTAAATGTTTTTTTAAGGCAGCCGATTACAAAATAAGATATATTTTTATCACTGTTATATAAAAATTTTTCACCATTCTATAAAAGTGACTGATTTTCGTAATTTTAGGTGACTTCAATTTACTTGAAGTCACCCTAGCAAGCATTTATTTTCAAAATGGTTGAGAAAAGAATCAAAGATATGAAGCTATAAACTTTCGCACTGACATTTTAGTACGCAAGAAATTTATTTCTTTGCCATTTAGACACGATAAGGTAACAAATTTCATCCAGGAACTGAGAAATTAAGATGAAGGGGGAGCAGCTTACCAATACCAATAACGACTTTGAGCGTCACCCTTCGACTATCTGCGACAGCAGAATAAGCAGAGGTGTTAGAACGTTTACAAAACTAAAAGAAAGTAAAAATTAAACTTTATAGGTTTTTTTAAGAATAATGAAATATTTATGTATATGTTTTGAATTGGTTTACTGCTGCTCTCATGTTGCTAGTATTCTGTTTTAAATTAATCTTTCCGTTTTCAAATAAGTGTCACATTTGAGAAAATACTATATTCTCAAATAGATGTTACATTTGTTAATTTAACAAATAATAAATTATTTTTTTCCCTCTTTGCCCTTTGTATTTAACAAATAATAAATATCTTTTACCCTTCCTATATTGTAAACTAAGAGCAGTATAGTCGATTCACTCAATAATTTACTATAACTTAGAAAAATTGAATGGTTTTTTTAAAGAATGTAAAATAAACAAATGTGATAAGTATTTGTGAACGGAAGGAGTAATATTTATTGTTAGCGAGACAGAACAAGAGTATATGGTAAAAAGGCAGACTAATCCATAACATGATCGGTAAGTACATCTATAATCTGACAACAAATCTAGACTTGAATCCTCCTCTTCAATACTGAAAAAAGGAGTATACAGTAAAAGATTCAACGGGAAATGTTGCAGGATTCAAAATGTCACTTGTAATTTCTCTAAAAAAAAAATGTAACTTTTAATAAAAATAAAATAAAATCCCACTTGATAAAATCGTGAAATATTCAACACATTAGGAAATGACCAAATGCAATCTATGGTTGGAAAAGAAAATATGCTTGAATAGGATGACGTTTTAACTATTCATATGAAATGAATTCTTCAACACAAGTCACAACTTCATTTTTTGAATCTATGGTTAGTTCAATAACAATTGAGAGTGACAAGCTCTAGTCTTTGAAGAGGTCAAGTGACAGAAATAATAGATCACGCGCAGTATGCAGAAACTAGCCTATCAAACATAGAAGGGAGTAACTTGACTAACGATTGTTGACTAGAAGATTGCAGAATATGTTTCTAACCATATGATGCACTTTATGTATCAAAAAAATTGCATTTATAAAAAGAGAAAATATGCATGGTTAGACTCTAATCACGACTCAACTAATTCTTTAACGTAAAAAATTAATTATGTGAACTTATATACTCTGCAATTTATTATACCATGATCCACTTTTATAGTTTTAATTCAGTTGAACCTGGTTAGAGTCTAACCATCTATACATGCTCTTATAAAAATTATGCACTATCAATGAGTTTCAACTTAATGGTACTAAAGTCATCTCTGGATTACAAGTTTGAACCTCATCCAGAGCGAATTTAACAAACAAAAAAGTTATGTGCTGATTTTACTTGAAAAGCCAAAAAAAAAAAAAAAAAAAAATTAATCTAAAGTCATCTCTGGATACAAGTTTTGAACCTCATGCACAGAGCGAATTTATACAAACAAAAAAGTTATCGTGCTGATTTTACTTGAAAAAGGCCAAAAAAAAAAAAAAAAAAAATTAATGAAAAAAAAAAAAAAAAAAAAAAAATTAATGAACAAAATCTACAAAATTACAAGCTGAGCTAGATATGGCTAATGTAAAACCAGTAATGAACGTTATAAGCTGAGAAATTGAAGTTACCACCATAACATGAATTTTGATAAGGCCGGTCACGGCAAAAACAAACAAATTCATTATTCTCAAATCCACAGCGACCACCACTTATTTCACAACTACTGCAATTATGTGCAGTCCAATTCAACATGAACCCCATCTTCAAAATCTCAGTATAGTTCTTTTGGAATATACTATTATCAAAATCACCAGTAGCATGTAAAGGAGAGTTAACTAAGTAACGACATGACTCTAAAGAATAGTTATAGTACAACTCTAATTCTTGAATATGAAAACCGGCAAAAGAATAAAAAGAAGCATTAGTAGCACCAGTTATCGGGTAGGAAAGGAACTTTGTTGGCTTCAAAGTACAATTATACAAGAAAGAAAAATCAATATAATCAGGACTGATATTAAAAGGAGTTCTATAAAGAGTCACATTATGTAAAGGCATTGGACATGAGTCCTCCCCTTCTTCCTCATAGACACTAGCACTAGCCACAAGAAAAGACTGATTGTTGTAATAAATATCTTTAATGATGCCACAAGAAAAGACTGATTGTTGTAATAAATATCTTTAATGATATAATCATCATTAGAGATTTTAAGAACTGGGTAATCATCATCATTACAAATAATATCAAAATTCGGATACCCACAAAATGGTTTTTGAACTTGACTTAGGTAAAAAGGGTATGTTATTTTAGGGCCTTGGCCACAGGTTGTGGGTGCACAAGCTTGGAACTTTTGATCTTCCATTGATGAGGAGTGACTAGCTAAGGTGAAGAAGAAGATCAAGGAGTAGTTTATGAGATTCATTAGGAATGGAAGAAGAAGGAACAGGAAAATAAGCGTAAGCGTGACTGACTAGCTAACTGAGATTCATTAGGAAAAGAAGCGAAGATTATGTGAGGGCATTTCGGGAAAATCCGAGATTGAAAGACACTGCTAGTAATTTGAGTGTTCGTATGATGATTTGGTTTCTGATTTGCTGATTGCTGAACCGGAAGCTAGGAAATTCTTTTCAATTATTGGAATTGTGAAATTGAAATCAACATTTTTAAACGTATCAAACACTCGACTTTGAGAATACATACAAATCTGATAAAAAGGGCAACTTCCAATCTCTTTCTCTTATTTATAACCTTTGACAAGTCAAAACTCGAAAGTAAACGAGGAGTGAACTACACGCTCAACTACACTTGTCCAGCAATCAACGATGGATGTATTGTTGGGCTTTTTTGACCAGTCAACAATTTGTTGTGTGGGTCCCTTCAACATGTGGGATCCATACCCATTTGAAAAAGAAAAAAAAAACAATAAACGTGTTTTTTTGTTGGTCAATGAGATTCAAACGTATGGGACTCATACACGTTTGAATGAAGAAAAAATAGAGAGGATGGATGCCTTAATTAACGCGTCAGTCTGTGTGGACGCGTTAATTACGTGTAGGAGAAGGTTTCCTCAACCATTATGTACAAAAATAAAAGGAATCGAAATACACAAAGTGTAGAGAATTTTAGGAAAGAGTTCCTAAAATTATAAAAGAGAGAAAATAGTAAAGATTATAATTTTTGGGTGTTTTTGGGAAACACTTAGAGTACTACTATTTTTGTAATATCTTTTGTACCTACTATTTTAGTGGAAGAATTATTCGCGTTTTTGTCCCGTAGACGTAGCCCATAACATAATGTTCATGATTCGTCTAGAGGTCTAGGGCGCAGTAATTTCGCTGGGCCATAAAACAAGGTTTAAATGAAAGGAGGTCAAGTATGAGTGGATCAGAAAGCAAAAGAAATGGACATGAAAACCATTATGCCGCATAAAATATAAGGATTCTTGAAGAAGGAGATTAGGTGGAGGGCACTTTGGATAATTACCAAATTGAAAGAGGCTGCCAGTGTATTTTGAGTGGTGATGGCTTTTTTCGATTGGACTTAAAGAGTGATTTGTCAAAAGCATTTGATATGAAGGATTTGGGATCGGCAAGGCGAATTCTCGGAATGGAGATTATCCGAGACAGAAAGTCCTGTAGGTTATGGTTATTACAGGAAAAATATATTGAATGAGTTATAGAGAGGTTCAATAGGAAGAAGATCAAGGAGTAGTTTATGAGATTCATTAGGAATGGAAGAAGAAGGAATAGGAAAATAAGCGCAAGCGTGACTGACTAGCTAACTGAGATTCGTTAGGAAAAGAAGCGAAGATTATGTGAGGGCATTTTGGGAAAATCTGAGATTGAAAGACACTGCTAGTAATTTGAGTGTTCGTATGATGATTTGGTTTTCCGATTTGCTGATTGCTGAACCGAAAGTGTGGTAAAAGAGCCCCTTTTTCCATTTGGAAATTCTTTTTAATTATTGGAATTGTGAAATTGAAATCGACATTTTTAAACGTATCAAACACTTGACTTTGAGAATACATAAAAATCAGACAAAAAGGGCAACTTCCAATCTCTTTCTCTTATTTATAACCTATGACAAGTCAAAACTCAAAAGTAAACGAGGAGTGAACTACACGCTCAACTACACTTGTCCAGGAATCAGTGATGTATTGTTCGGCTTTTTTGACCAGTCAACAATTTTTAGCTTTTCCTTTTGCTATAATCTTGAGCTATAATACTGAAGAGAACATAAACAACAACACCAATGATGTTTAGGCGTATAATCCAGCTAAGACGAATTATTTTGGATTGATTATTATTGAAAAATTAGACAATTTATTTATAATCTCGAGTTAATATTTGAATGAGCGTGAGTTGAAATTCCAAGTAATGAATTGCTCAATTATTTAAAATTATAACGCAGTGAACAGATTGATAAATTAATGGCAAAGAGAAAGGAATAAGCGTACCAACGTTAGGACAATTCATAGGATAAGGACGATCATGGCAAAGGCAGGTGAATCTGGAAGTAGTGGAGTTGGTACCACAAATCCCACTTGAATCGCTACATCTCTCGCACATTTCATCGGGCTTGTAGACAACATTAAATCCAGCTTTCAAAACTCTCTCAAAATTTCGAAGCCCGTTCCAAATAATTTCGATACGATATGCAGAAATCGGGACCTGCAATTCGATGTTACAATAGTTGGAAAGGTGGTCTATCTCCCACTCACCAGTCGCATAATATGCAGGCCTTTCTTCTCCATTTACATCACATGAAAATCTGTAGTTTGGAAAAGGAGGTTTTTCCGCTGAGCAATTGTAGAATAGAGTAACGTTTTGAACCTCCTGTTCATCTAAAAAGAGAGCATTGTCGATAGTAATCGGACGAATTTCAGCGATATTCACCGGACAAATACTTTCAAATAAATCCATTCGAACGATTGTAATCGTTATTCGTCCGAAGTCATCAACGGACAGTAACCGAAAATCTTGATTTGTGATACTTAGAACAGGAAATTGATCTTCTTCGCAGCGGAGCTTAAACCTTTGGTCACCACATATTTTAGACCTTTCATCGCTCCAAAAAGGATAATAAAGACCATGTAAATTTCCACATGAAAAGGTTTTCCTGCACTCTGTATAGTGCTTATCATCTTCACAGTAAGATGATGAAACAAAAAGTAAGAGAAAGAAGAGGGTGATCATGGAGTGTACATGGGATGGCAAGAACAGATGAGTATCCATTTATGTGTTTTTTTTTTTTTTTGTCAAAGAAGAAAAGAAGAAGATGATAAGTAATAATAACAGAAACTAAGGAATTGAAGAATTAAATATTACAATATTAAATGCAAAGTGATTATATTTATTTTGTTTGCTTCGATTATGAAGCACGAGAAGACATTTGACTAAGACTTTTGTATTAAGTAAATGGAAATATAGTTTTGATTCTGTTTGGTAGAAGATGATGATGGCGGGCGACAGACGAAAAACAAATTCTAATATTTGACCGTTTGAAGCTGCTGGGAAATAGCTTACAAAGACTATAAATAATCAGATTGTACTCCTTTAAACTCACAATCTTATAGTTGTAAAAGTTAACTTTAATAACCCATAAAGAACGCTGAAACAACGAGCTAGATTTGAATTCAATGAATTATCTTTACAAAGTTAAGAGTTCCATTCATGAAAATAATACTTATGAAGACAATTAGTTAAAAACTCTAAACAGAATTACTCTCTTACCCAATAGTTAAAAAAAAAAAAAAAAAAAAAGAAAGGTTATTGGCAAAAAGCAGAGAGGAGATTGTTTAGTTGGTAAAAAAACTCATTAAGGGTCTTTCTCAAAAAAAAAAAAAAAAAAAAAACACTTATTTATATTATTAAAAAAAAAAAAAAAAAAAAAACATATATATATATATTAACGGTACGTGCGGTAAAATTAGTTATTTTGGTAACAAATGTTAATATTTTATAAAAAAACTACCTTAACCTCTAAAAGCTAATTCAAATGTTATATTATCGAATACTATAAAAAATAACGTTTAACATTTTAACTAAACAAAACCTTAAAAATTACTTAAAAAATTATTGCGGAATATCACCTAAGTTCGATGTTGCTTTGATAATAATGAGCAGAGCTCATAAACGTTTTTACAAATTGAGTTAATAATCCTTAGATCAATTGACTATTTTGAAGTCAAGTCATAGCAATTTCTATTAATTGTTATTCATTTATTTGTTAATTTATTTATTCTAATTGCTACGATTTAGTCTAAAAAAACAACTATCTTTGAAGAAATACTTTCAATTTCTTTTTAATAAACGAGCAGGGTTATTTTTGAGCTAAATTTAGCATTAGAAACTAAACCTATTCTCCTATGTGTTGATGCTCTCAAAAACATTTCAAATATTCTCCTATATGAGTGCCTCATATGTGCCACATAACAGAAATATATCTAATATAGATTTTATGTATTTCGATTTTTAAATTTGATACGTTAACCGTTGAGACTGCGAAAGAGAAAAGTGATAAATCTAAAATTATATAAAAATAAATTATTTAGCTGATGTTAAGATCACAAATCAGGGATTCTAATTGTTTATATGAGAATAGCGTAATGGTGTTTGGAAGAAGAGAAAAGGAGAGAGAATTGAAGAATAGAGAAATGGAAAGTGAGAAAATAGAAAAGAAAGGATGTATATATTCATTTATTCATTGATTTTAAACATCTCAATACAAGATTATATATATGCCTGTTGATGTGATGCACAGTGAGCTAAATATGCCAAATCAGCTTACGTCTCAGCAAAGCACTAATATCAATTTAGTATATTATTAAACAATTAATATATTGTTCTAATAGAGGAACCACGGTTCACAGATTTAGAAACTTGGTGGATGGGTGTGTTTCCCTTATTATGAACAGGCTTTGGAATGTGCATTCGGCAAAGATCTTTAAATATATATATATATATACTTCCAGTTGTACGCACATCATCTAATATTGTAAAGGGGTATTTTAGAAAAATTAAATAAAAATATAATTTAACTATACTGGAGACGGGTCATGATTCGTGATTAAAACGGAAAATATGTGGCCACAAGTGACTTCCTGACCTAGAAAAAACTCACACCAAAACAGGGATTAATTCTTCGTAATTTATGTGAAAATCAAATTAGATCTACATATAGGATTGTCAAAATGGACTTAAACCCATATATAGTTCGTGTTCTTCCGTAATTTGTTCGGATATAAAAAAGAAATTGAGACCAATTTTTAAAACAAGTTTTTTTATTCGGCCCGTCTTTTATCAAAGCTTGTGGAACTCACTTTAAAACAATATATGTATCTATATATCATAAAATTTTAAAATAAAAAAGAGAATAACAATTCAAAATTTGTATAGACCTTGCTTCTCTCTTTTTTTCCACATTAAAAATCTTTGAATGGACATACAAAGCCAATAAAAATCCAAGAAATTAGTAAAGTTAGAAAAATAAATAAATAAATAAACCCCCAAAACGGACATGGTCGGACCCATTTGTGGCCCAAGCAGACCGGATTGGACTTGAAAATTAGGGTCCATTTTTTAAAGCTCGGCTGTTTTGAAATCGAGTAGGTGGTCCGTCCATTTTTTAACGAGCTTTTTCGGCTCGGCCTTTTTGGAATCGTGTACGCCGGTTTTCAGAATGCTACCTCTACTTATATATATATGGGGGATAGAGACAGTAACTCTAATTGATAGAATAACTATAAAATAAAATCTATGTAGCTAAGATGCCAAAATTCAAACAAGCAACGAAAGAGGAAAGCCGAAGAAATTAAACGAAGGGCCTAATCTATGGGCTGCCGCTATGGGCCAACCATAAACTTGAACTCTATGACATTTCCAAAGAGACCCAACAAAAAGTAATAGTATTAATAATAAATTAATGAGAGTATATTGGATTAAGAGTCTCTTAAATTTTAAAATTTCAATGATATTCAATTTAGATTTTTTTAGAGTATATTAAAATTTTGTGGTATTCAATTTAGACTATCATAAAATCCATAAAAATCTGATGGTATTCAATTTTGACTTTTTAAAAGTCCATATAAATTTAATGGTATTCAAAAAAATTACTGATTTAAAAAAATTCTATAAAATTATTAATTTCGTTGGATTTAAAAGTGTTATATACGAATAAAAGAGTCATTCACAAATTCATTTTTCAATCCAAAGATTTTAAAAATCTTTTAAAATCTAATAAACTCTTAATCTAATACACCTCGGAGCAAGTACCCGTGAATTTTAAACTACATGTATAAGTATCTGTTTAAAATTTTATTATCCATATCCATTCTAAACTTATTTAAATACCTACCCATATTCGAACTCATTTAAATATTAACTACCTTATCCATCCAAAAATCTATTAATTTTAATTAGATATATAAAATTCCTTGTGATTCCATCAAAGTCAATCAAAATCTATTAAGAAAAGTTCCATCAGTACCATACAACTTTATGTAGAATTCTAGTGGAATTTATGCAAATGTTAGGAAATCCTTCAATTTCGTTAGACTCAATAATTTTTTTAAAATCTAACATAATCCTGATTCAATGCACCCTCCTACATGTTGAAGTGGTAGGCTGCAATTGGGTTTTAAACGTTTCTACAAAATTGAATATTCAATCAACTCAAAATTCTTTTGAAAAAGATAATCACCGATTCTAAAATGAAATTAGTCTTATATATAATTAAGTGACGAAGACATCATAGAGGTATCCATATTTTGTCTTCAAATATTTTCATTATAGAAAATAAGGTTGGGAAAACAAACCATCAAATCAAATGGTACAAATAAGGTCCTATGCTTTTTTTTAGTGCTTTCTCAAATAAAAATAATTGGGAAAAAATTAATCAAATTTTAGCTTGGGGGAATTCTCCTGTCTTTTACACAAATTAATCATTGTTTCTTTTACTTTTTAATTTTCATCAAATTTTTCTAATGTAAAATTTATCTATATCAAAGGAGAAAACAAACAAAATAAATAAATAAATAAACATATATGAAAAAAATATAGTACTATAAATAAGTAAATTAACAGCGGGTAAATTATTATTTAGTCCCTCAGTTTTAAATAATTACCAAACTATCACAGGTTTTAAGAAAATATCTGAGCTATCCCTCAGGTTTAACTCCGTCTAATTAAAGGTCCTTCCGTCCGCAAAAGTTGGTTTTTTTCCCGTTAATCTATAGAGAAAAGACTAAAATACCCCCTCCCCGCTGACGTGGACCATAAGGGAAAATTATTATCTAGTCCCTCAGGTTTTACATAATTATCTAACTAATCCCAAGTTTTGCACAAATATCTAATTAGTCCCTCAGGTTTAATATATCCTAAAGTAAAAAGTGTTTCAAAAATGTCGTGGTAGTCTACTTTTTCAATATTATATTTTTCCTATTTTTATAAAATTTTTGAATTTTTTTCTTTTTTTTTATTTTTTAAGTTTTAATTGGATTATATATATTTTTTTTAAATAGACATCTACACTTCAAATTTTTTCAAATTTTTTCTTATCTCAATTCATATCTATCTAGATATATTTATATCAATCCTGAACTGTTTGTATTTCCCTACACAGCTTTAACTTTGAAGTTCCAATTTCAATTGGTTATAGTACTTATACAAATCTTTATTTTGTTGCGACAAAAGGAACCAACCAAGACAAAAAAATCAGGAAATTGACAAAAAGCTAAGCCGGTATTTAAGATTACAAGGAAAAAGATAAATGAGAATGGTGAAGCTATCATGCTTATGATTTAAGTAGTTTTGCTCTTTTAACATTAGCTTTTGAAGTTTTTTATTTACTTAAGGTTACGTAATAAAATTAATTAATATTTTGTTATAATTTATAAGAATAAATTTACTTACTTAATTACCATAAAAATATTAAAAGTATTTATGAATAGATGGAATACTTTGTTTTTTTTTTTAGATTTTATCAATGATAATAGAAATGTTTCTTGATAAAATTTGCATATTAAATATGAATAAAATAGAAAATATGTTTATTACTTTTTTTTCTAAAAAAGAAACTATGATGATAATTTGGGGTAAAAAGAAAAATGAAGTAATTACTTTTTTGAAGATGTATTTACTTTCATGATTCACTCAAATTTAATAATATTTAATTAGAACATCAAATTAATTTTTTTATCCTTTTTTTAATACTGTCTTTGTTTTATAATACTTGTCAGATTTGAGAAAATAGTTTGTTCTAAAATATTTGTCTAATTTAGTCTAAAATACTTGTTATATTTACGGTTTTAAGGAGTAATAAATATTTTTTTCATATTTACCCTTTGTGTATGATTAATAATTATTATTTCAATTTAATGATTTTCTTAGAGATTAATATTAAATTAAGAGTAATATTGTCAAAATTTATTCAATAATTTATTATAATTCGTATTATTTTAGTCTTTTACCTCAATAATTAACGAGAAAAAAACTAAACATGTTCGGACGGAAGGACCTT